TAAGTCCAATTCAATAAATTTTTACTGAGGAAGTACCCGTCGCCCTGCTGATCTCATCAGACTCTTCCTATCCCCCAAGATCCCCTAAACTTATGAAGTCTCATTTCTCAAGTGAAACAATTCGTTAACATACCGTCTAGCCATTCTAAATATCTTACTTCGTGTAGATAAATATTCTTAAAAATAATAGATTACGTGTCATTTACATCCTCACACCGATTCTTACTAGTTAGAGTAGAGCGTGTGTTGTATGCTATTCTAAAATGCTTTATAAGTACTGTAAAAATAGTAATTGAAGATGTGCGAATAACAACAAATTTGTGAAAATAATTTAAATAGTCGAGGAAGTCAAGTAGAATAGTCCCTTCATTTACCCTTCTGGTCTGAATTTAACATGCAACAAAATACCACCATTTCATCATCACTTGATATGCATCGAATTTATCGATTGAAATTATTTATCATAGACAGGCATTATGTCCCCTCCATTTACCTTCTTTACTTCTTTACATCTTTACATTCATTGAATAAATCAGTTGGAATAAAACTCTCATTTTGTTTAAAAAAATTACTGAATTTAATTTAAGATATAATAAAGTGAAATTAATATATCAAATGTACATTGATGAGAACTAAATAGTTGACAGAATAATTTATAATAATATTGTTTAAATAGTTAAATATATTAAACACATAATGAAAAATGAAAAATAAAGTATTATTGAAATAATTGAATTATAGTATGGCTAAATCGTTCAAAAATGATTCTTACTTGATGTGATATTTAATATATTGTAGATTATTCAACTCTTCATACGTGAAATCAGAATATTTTCGTAATTAAAATAAATCTAACTATTTTATTTTTCAATAATACTAATATCATTTACTTCAATTTTGAATTTTCTAGGAAAATATTTTAAGTATGAGGACTGATTACTTATTTTACTAAAATTTCACAGGGTTAATGTTTTACTTGCTAATGCCGATGAATGAGAGAAAAAATAAATAAATAAATAAATTATTCATCAAAGAGCATAAAGTAGATATAAAACAAATTCAAGTTGCAGTGTGTACAGTTTTTCTGACATTATAATTGTTTCTTTACATTACTATTCTTCCAATTAAGAGCATGTTTGAACCCGATTTTTTCACAAAAAAAATTGATTTTTTTATCGTTATTTCACTATTTTAGTCATCATATTTGACTTCTTCTCTCATAGGTGGATCCCACTTTTCTCTTAACGGTCAAAAAATCAATTCTCAAAATCACTCCCAAACAGGCTCTAAATTTGAAATGATTTTATATTCGAAAATTAACAAAGTGTTATTTGCCGTATTTCCACCTATCAAAAAATATAAAAAACTTAAATGCTAGCGCACCTAACACGTGTTCGAGTGCTTATATAAAAAATATATATATATACCACCCAAAACAGAGAGTCTATGCTTAAGGTGGTGCAATCCTATAAGGATTGAAACTTGTTTAAAGAGTCCGCCATTAATGCCGTTTTTAAGTGCTTCTACCTACAATTAATTTATGTTACGAAAAATAAAAATAAAAAAAAATATATTTATTAATTAGAATTATATTCTTATTTTAGTACTTTACAGTAAAGAAAGTTCCATAAACATCTGCAGTGGAATCTGCGATACTCACCATAAAGCCGATCGAAATATTCATGAATCGGCCGGCTTGATTGCTCAATCTTTCCTATTCATCCTAGTGAAAAAACCAATTAAGAACAGTCAACCCGGTTTATTTTTAGGAGAATTTTAAATTTTGAGTGTGTTGTAACTTGTGGGTGCTTTAGTAAATTTATTTTTGTTGTTAGAAATATATAAATATATGGATTAATTTCACAAAGGGTCATTGAACTTACCTAAAAATTGCAAAACAGTCACTGAAGTTACAAACTTGCAGAAACGATCACTTAACTGACTAGCGCTTTTACTAACGGTCACTGAAGTTTACAAACTTGCAGAAACGGTTACTATTAGGATCGTTATGATTTTAATTCAAACTTAAAGGACCAAAACACGTGACGTAGAATCTTGAGGACCTCAAGTGAAAATTACATGGGGGCGAAAAAAGGAAAAAGAGGGATGGGGTTTCTCTCTCTTTTGGCATAGCGGGCCCCAGCGGGAGGCTCGCACGATGGGCTATTAACTTAGTGGTAAAGCGCGCCCCTAATAATTGTGTTGTTGTGCCTGATGAACGCTAGCGGCATGCTTAACACATGCAAGTCGGACAAAAAGTGGTGTTTCCAGCGGGCAGATGCTAAGATGGAATAGATGCGCTAATGTGCCTAATATCCGAGCTACGGTATGATGAGAAACTATTCCTCCCGGAACAAAAGAATCAAAACCTTCCAGATTT